GCCAATGAGAGAACTTTCTATTTTGGTTACATTTCATTATTATTATAAATGAGTTTGCCCTTAGATTGTTAAACTTTGGTGGCCGAAACTTTTATGTTTGTTTCAATTATGATTATGATTTATGAACTTGCACTGTATCACTATTACGTTCAATTGTGTAATTACAGCGTAATTTATATGTAAATTGTAATTTATGTATGCCAACCATAGAAATAAGTAAGTTGGAAGAGAAATTTAAACAAATCAAGGAAAGACGCGATTAGTTAAATTATACTTATTTTTTTGTAGCAGTGATGGGCAATTTGTAGTTTGCTATATAAATTTTATTAATGTACTGGTAGTTTAAAATGATTTAAATGATTAATATACTTGCTGGATTTTTTTATTAATTTAATAGTAATCTTTTTATCAGTCAATAAAGATAATCTAGGTAATTGCAATTATTTGAATTAGTGTACAATAAACAATAAGAGCATATATAAACCTTTCCTTTCAATATATTTATTTTCACCACTTTGGTTTAATATTTCACCTGCCTATTCGTATTGGCTATTTGAATCGAAAGTCAGATTTAGTGCATAAAATCATTTACGCAAGTGTCGATTAAAATCATAAAGTGCGACTAACAAAGTTTGACCAGTTCAGCAATATTGAACTAAATGAATTGTTTTAATTGTATGGTAGTATAGGTAATGACATCAAAAATTATAGCAGAAAATTTTCCTAATTAAACTAATTATCTCGCGCGAGACACATCTCCAGCGACAACACCGAGTATGGGATGTAATTGCATTAGCATTCTTGTTTAACTAATAATGTGATGGATTAAATATTATTTCTACAAGAAGATAATCAGTTATCTAATTTGATTTTTTTTCTACGAAATTAACATTTAATCATTATTTAATTTAATTTTTTTCTACGAAAATAATTTTTTTTAATTTGCTAGAATGAAATAACGCCAGTACAACATCCTTTCACAAGATTAAGCAATACAGGTATAATCAAATTATCCATAATGTATTGGAATCATTTGATCTTGGTTCTGATAAATTTATTATTCTAGAAAGTGATTTCAAATCTCTCGTTGTACGTATATAATATCAAAATTTCAATTTGTGAAGATAAAATTTATATGTGGATTGTATGTATAAGAAAAATACTTATTATATTGATCTTAATAAGGAGAGAAAGCTGATATAAAAAATCTAGGTAAAGTAAAGAACATTTGCTATGATTTATATCAAAAAGAAACGAGGCTCGGAAATTACGGAAATTCGTGTTGTCATGAAGAGGAATTTGATACATGATCAATGGGCCGAGGCGATCATGTTAGAGGACACATAGCAAGCGGAATTACTAACGTTCTTTTACAAGAAATTAAGCTAAATGCGCTCCAAAGAGTTTCTGGGACTCGTGGTATATGGTCATATCTAATAAAAGGGAGATGATCTCACTAACGTGTTTTTTGGACAGAAAGGTAACAAACTGATATTAGTAACAAAACCGACTAATTGTTGAACAAAGGGTTAGACAATGATGCTAGACATAAGGATGAGTCAGGTATTATGGCACACTTAAGAGTTGATCGAACTAGTTTATAATAAGTGACGCCAGTACAAAAACTATTAATGCAGAGATATTATATCACCATTATAATAGACAAGTAAATCTATAAGCTTTTATCAAGAATTTTGAATAATTGCCGATAAAGTATTTTATTTAGTAATAATGACACCATTAATAATTATTATTCATAATATTAATACAATATTTTTTCATAAAGAGATCTACTATAAATATTTATTTTTTGATACCATACATGTCCCTATATTCCTTCATAATTGACAAACGTTCATCATAACCGCCCTTTTCCTTAAGATATTGAATGATAAGATCCAAGTTAACAATAGACATCACAGGAATACCATAATCTTGTTCTATTTGTTGAATAGCTGACACTTCACCCGTTCCACGTTCTTGCCTGTCTACAGCCACAATAACACCAACAGGAGTTGCACCATTCTCTTTAATGATCGCCAAACTTTCTCTAATAGCAGTTCCAGCTGTAATAACATCATCAATTATTAAAATATTTCCTTTTAATGGAGCACCAACAATACTTCCACCATCGCCATGATCCTTAATTTCTTTTCTATTAAACGAATATGGAACATCTTTATTATAATGTTCAGATAAAGCGATAACTGTTGATGAAGCTAATGGAATGCCTTTATAAGCGGGGCCAAAAACTACATCATAATCTAAATGGTTTTCATCTTGTAAAACTGCTGCGTAATATTTACCGATGGTGGATAATGCACTACCTTTATTAAATTTACCAGCATTAAAAAAATATGGACTTTTACGACCAGATTTTAATATAAAAGATCCGAAGCTTAAAATTTCTTGTGAAATGGCAAATTCTATAAATTCTCGTTGATATGATTTAAGAGACATTTTGAAAAAAAAAAAAAAATCTAAAAAAATTATTAATCATGTTACGCAAGTTTTTTAAAATCTAATAATTATCTCAATTAGGATCGGATCCTCAATGTTACATGTATCACGAGAAGACTTTAGCATGATATATAAAAGGCACTATCCAAAAGCTGTTTATAAATTAAAGTCGGACTAATGCAATCGTCTCTCTCTACATCGAACTTGTTCGTTATGAAATGTGCTGTTATATATTTACTGCTCTGCAAAAATTCGTGACCTTGTTATTGTAATTTTTTTATAAAATGGTCGTGATTGCGATTGCTAAAGTATCAAATCTGAGTTCCTTTATTTGACCATTTTCCTTAAGATATTTAATAATCACATCCAAATTAACAATAGACATCAAAAGAATAAACAGGAGAGACCGTTGATGTTATACAACTAATTCCACACCTGGTGTGCAACTAGAGATGTTAAGTGGTCCACAGGGGACCGGGTTCTGGACTGGGCTTTTTAGGACTTTTTAAGGACCGTCCAGAAACAGTCCGAAACTAGTCCAGATAATCACATGTATAAATCGAATGTCATTTGACGCTTCGAATGAAATTTAATAAATTTAAATCAAGAACAATACTTTTAATCGCCTTAATTTAAGGAAGCACAAAGTTCTTTAATTGGGTTGGTTATCCTGATTGGTTGTTTTGGCGATTTTTTTTTTTTTTGCCGTATAAAACAAAATTTCAAAATTATAAGTTATGCATTCCACTAGAGTTGGAACAGGGGGTTATGAACTAGTTTCTGACTAGTTCAGGACCAGACTTTTTAAGGACCGGACTGGGACTGGACCAGGCGGATTTTTTAGCATCCCTATGTGCAACGCATAAAATGATTATTTTACAATACCAGACATTCCGCTAGTACATGTTATGATTATAATCCAACACCTGTTTTATCAGGTGTTCATGTACTAGCGGAATGATCTGGTATTGTAAAATAATTACTTTATGTGTGGCACACCAGTCGTATAACATCAACGGTCTCTACTGTTCAAAAGAATACCACAATCTTGTTCAATCTGTTGGATGGTTCCACGGCCTAAATAACATCATCAATTATTAAAATATGTCTATTCAATAGAATGCTTTATATTATATATCTAATGCCGTATCATAGAAAATTTTTAATTTAATTGCCATTGTAATTATTTACTGTAACTCTAGCTTTTTAATCTTCAATTCACAAGGGAAGAACACAGGTCGAAAGATAAAAAATCAGGCACAAATCAGGTACCTGATTTGTGCCTGATTTTTTATCTTTCGACCTGTGTTCTTCCCTTGTGAATTGAAGATTAAAAAGCTAGAGTTACAGTAAATAATTACAATGGCAATTAAATTAAAAATTTTCTATGATACGGCATTAGATATATAATATAAAGCATTCTATTGAATAGACATATTTTAATAATTGATGATGTTATTTAGGCCGTGGAACCATCCAACAGATTGAACAAGATTGTGGTATTCTTTTGAACAGTAGAGACCGTTGATGTTATACGACTGGTGTGCCACACATAAAGTAATTATTTTACAATACCAGATCATTCCGCTAGTACATGAACACCTGATAAAACAGGTGTTGGATTATAATCATAACATGTACTAGCGGAATGTCTGGTATTGTAAAATAATCATTTTATGCGTTGCACATAGGGATGCTAAAAAATCCGCCTGGTCCAGTCCCAGTCCGGTCCTTAAAAAGTCTGGTCCTGAACTAGTCAGAAACTAGTTCATAACCCCCTGTTCCAACTCTAGTGGAATGCATAACTTATAATTTTGAAATTTTGTTTTATACGGCAAAAAAAAAAAAAATCGCCAAAACAACCAATCAGGATAACCAACCCAATTAAAGAACTTTGTGCTTCCTTAAATTAAGGCGATTAAAAGTATTGTTCTTGATTTAAATTTATTAAATTTCATTCGAAGCGTCAAATGACATTCGATTTATACATGTGATTATCTGGACTAGTTTCGGACTGTTTCTGGACGGTCCTTAAAAAGTCCTAAAAAGCCCAGTCCAGAACCCGGTCCCCTGTGGACCACTTAACATCTCTAGTTGCACACCAGGTGTGGAATTAGTTGTATAACATCAACGGTCTCTCCTGTTTATTCTTTTGATGTCTATTGTTAATTTGGATGTGATTATTAAATATCTTAAGGAAAATGGTCAAATAAAGGAACTCAGATTTGATACTTTAGCAATCGCAATCACGACCATTTTATAAAAAAATTACAATAACAAGGTCACGAATTTTTGCAGAGCAGTAAATATATAACAGCACATTTCATAACGAACAAGTTCGATGTAGAGAGAGACGATTGCATTAGTCCGACTTTAATTTATAAACAGCTTTTGGATAGTGCCTTTTATATATCATGCTAAAGTCTTCTCGTGATACATGTAACATTGAGGATCCGATCCTAATTGAGATAATTATTAGATTTTAAAAAACTTGCGTAACATGATTAATAATTTTTTTAGATTTTTTTTTTTTTTTCAAAATGTCTCTTAAATCATATCAACGAGAATTTATAGAATTTGCCATTTCACAAGAAATTTTAAGCTTCGGATCTTTTATATTAAAATCTGGTCGTAAAAGTCCATATTTTTTTAATGCTGGTAAATTTAATAAAGGTAGTGCATTATCCACCATCGGTAAATATTACGCAGCAGTTTTACAAGATGAAAACCATTTAGATTATGATGTAGTTTTTGGCCCCGCTTATAAAGGCATTCCATTAGCTTCATCAACAGTTATCGCTTTATCTGAACATTATAATAAAGATGTTCCATATTCGTTTAATAGAAAAGAAATTAAGGATCATGGCGATGGTGGAAGTATTGTTGGTGCTCCATTAAAAGGAAATATTTTAATAATTGATGATGTTATTACAGCTGGAACTGCTATTAGAGAAAGTTTGGCGATCATTAAAGAGAATGGTGCAACTCCTGTTGGTGTTATTGTGGCTGTAGACAGGCAAGAACGTGGAACGGGTGAAGTGTCAGCTATTCAACAAATAGAACAAGATTATGGTATTCCTGTGATGTCTATTGTTAACTTGGATCTTATCATTCAATATCTTAAGGAAAAGGGCGGTTATGATGAACGTTTGTCAATTATGAAGGAATATAGGGACATGTATGGTATCAAAAAATAAATATTTATAGTAGATCTCTTTATGAAAAAATATTGTATTAATATTATGAATAATAATTATTAATGGTGTCATTATTACTAAATAAAATACTTTATCGGCAATTATTCAAAATTCTTGATAAAAGCTTATAGATTTACTTGTCTATTATAATGGTGATATAATATCTCTGCATTAATAGTTTTTGTACTGGCGTCACTTATTATAAACTAGTTCGATCAACTCTTAAGTGTGCCATAATACCTGACTCATCCTTATGTCTAGCATCATTGTCTAACCCTTTGTTCAACAATTAGTCGGTTTTGTTACTAATATCAGTTTGTTACCTTTCTGTCCAAAAAACACGTTAGTGAGATCATCTCCCTTTTATTAGATATGACCATATACCACGAGTCCCAGAAACTCTTTGGAGCGCATTTAGCTTAATTTCTTGTAAAAGAACGTTAGTAATTCCGCTTGCTATGTGTCCTCTAACATGATCGCCTCGGCCCATTGATCATGTATCAAATTCCTCTTCATGACAACACGAATTTCCGTAATTTCCGAGCCTCGTTTCTTTTTGATATAAATCATAGCAAATGTTCTTTACTTTACCTAGATTTTTTATATCAGCTTTCTCTCCTTATTAAGATCAATATAATAAGTATTTTTCTTATACATACAATCCACATATAAATTTTATCTTCACAAATTGAAATTTTGATATTATATACGTACAACGAGAGATTTGAAATCACTTTCTAGAATAATAAATTTATCAGAACCAAGATCAAATGATTCCAATACATTATGGATAATTTGATTATACCTGTATTGCTTAATCTTGTGAAAGGATGTTGTACTGGCGTTATTTCATTCTAGCAAATTAAAAAAAATTATTTTCGTAGAAAAAAATTAAATTAAATAATGATTAAATGTTAATTTCGTAGAAAAAAAATCAAATTAGATAACTGATTATCTTCTTGTAGAAATAATATTTAATCCATCACATTATTAGTTAAACAAGAATGCTAATGCAATTACATCCCATACTCGGTGTTGTCGCTGGAGATGTGTCTCGCGCGAGATAATTAGTTTAATTAGGAAAATTTTCTGCTATAATTTTTGATGTCATTACCTATACTACCATACAATTAAAACAATTCATTTAGTTCAATATTGCTGAACTGGTCAAACTTTGTTAGTCGCACTTTATGATTTTAATCGACACTTGCGTAAATGATTTTATGCACTAAATCTGACTTTCGATTCAAATAGCCAATACGAATAGGCAGGTGAAATATTAAACCAAAGTGGTGAAAATAAATATATTGAAAGGAAAGGTTTATATATGCTCTTATTGTTTATTGTACACTAATTCAAATAATTGCAATTACCTAGATTATCTTTATTGACTGATAAAAAGATTACTATTAAATTAATAAAAAAATCCAGCAAGTATATTAATCATTTAAATCATTTTAAACTACCAGTACATTAATAAAATTTATATAGCAAACTACAAATTGCCCATCACTGCTACAAAAAAATAAGTATAATTTAACTAATCGCGTCTTTCCTTGATTTGTTTAAATTTCTCTTCCAACTTACTTATTTCTATGGTTGGCATACATAAATTACAATTTACATATAAATTACGCTGTAATTACACAATTGAACGTAATAGTGATACAGTGCAAGTTCATAAATCATAATCATAATTGAAACAAACATAAAAGTTTCGGCCACCAAAGTTTAACAATCTAAGGGCAAACTCATTTATAATAATAATGAAATGTAACCAAAATAGAAAGTTCTCTCATTGGCGAAAAATACTTTTTCAATTAGAACAGATAACCAGTAAAAGTAGATAAAATGACAGGCTCATCTAGTACATTTGTATCTATAGCCATTTTGAGGATTCTTGTTGATCTTTATCTGTAATCAAAGGGGTTTCCTCGGTAATTTCATCATTATTATATATTTGAATGGTAATATTATCTTCTTGTTCGGATATTCCAGAGCTCATTGGGTCGTTATTCTCATTAGGCGGTGTATCAAGATCACCTAGAGGTCGTTGAAGGAAGGCTATAAGTTTCACTTACATCCATTCCACCGTAATCGAATGGCTTCAGCACCTTCTTTTTTTTCAATCAACCAAGATAAAGCTCAGTGATATTAACTGAATGACCCAATATTTGGTAGTGTTGTTAACCACTGGAAAATGAATTACCCTTGACTGGATTACCGCGAATACGAACAATGTCATAAAGACGCGACAATTTTAACAATCAATGAGTCATAATTTCCTTATGGAATGAATGGTTTGGCATTCAATGTGACACATATATGTGGAAATGGGATTTAAATGGATTCAGAATTTCTTAATTAAAATGAATGACGCCAAGGGAAAATAAGACACTGGTTTATCATTTATTAAATAAATAATCAATGATAAACCAATTTCCCTTAGCGTCATTCAAATAGGGTCAGGGTATAGGTTCACATATGATATATTCTAACCTAAAATTCTAATCTAACTAAAGAATTCTGTATCCATTTAAATTCTGTTTCCATTTGCAAAAATATATACGTACAGTACTTAATTTCCCTATTGTTTGTTTCTATAAGTATTAATTTCATTGAGTATTAATTTCATTGCTAAATTTCAAAAATTAATTGAATAACACACATTTTGCATTTATTAAGTGAATAAATTGTTCATGAAATACTTTAGTCATATTTTTTGATTATTTTAAAGAATCCAGAATAATTCTAATGTGTAAATTTTACAGGGTCATGTATATCAGCAATGATTAATGACAGTTCTAGGAGCGATCTTCCGTTGCTATCTTATAATGAATTATTTTCTTTATCACAACATTGAATTCTTTTATTTATGTTTTCAGACATAGGAGTCTGAAAAGCGTAACTTGATTGAGCTCTTTTTCAAGAAATTCGAGAAAATAGACTTTGTCGTCTTCGCCCCATTGATCCGAGTTTTTAGTTCATGTTTGAGATCATCGTAAGCAAAATATCCATTCTGGATTAAAATAAGTTTTCAAGCATTGTCACGTGATCATTGTACCAAAATGAAAGTTTACTAATGAAGAAACCTGTAGCTGGTGTCAAGTATAGATGCAGACATTTGAAGACGTATGGTTACGTCCAATTGACGTGTCGTCACGTCAAAAGTGTCGTAATGACGTAGGTCGTAACAACTGACATTTGCCGTAACTTGTTACGGCAATACGACAATACGGGGGTTACGGCAGTTACGGCAATACGGGGGTTACGGCAGTTACGACAATACGGGGGTTACGGCAGTTACGACAATATGGAGGTTATGGCAATTACGACAATACGGGGTTACAGCAGAGCAACAGGTTGCGGCAGACAATAAATTACTATTACGGCAAAACAACAGTTTACGACAATACAATATATTACCGGTAAATCAGATCACTTACCGCTAAGGATTAAATCAGGTAATCCGTCAAGTTTATTTAAGACTCGTATAGCATCTTGGCCGTCACAAGCACAATATGCATCGAATTCTCTTAAAAGATCTGCTAGATAGCCTCTATATATATGACATGGCCAAATAATAGCAATTTATTTACAAGAATCGATAGTTTTAAAATGTATTACCGCATATCATTATTATCATCAACAAGTAGGACTTTATATTTTTTCTCATTAATGGAATCATTTGTAGAGAAATAAAGGTGGTATCTTCTGGTAACATTTTGCCAATATTCATATTCTGATCTTCGATTAATAAATTATCCATATCGTTTTGAACATAAGATGTACAGTTTTTTATCCATTGAGAACTTTCTTCTAAATAAAGCTGTCGTTTAATGTATAGTTCTTGACCATAACTTATTGGATTTTCAACGTTATTAAAGTATATTAAGTTGCAATTTCAAAGTTTAATAAGTGCTACAAATGAAATTTTCCCCGAAATAATTATCTTAGATAAAGTA